AAATAACAACGCCCCCAAAATTCTGACACATCTGCATTCATCCAAAGCAAATGCACAAGTCTTATAAATAAACCATTGATCATGTAATCTTTTTTTTTAGTTGCAGGTTTCATTGAATACTTTTACACAATTAACTGAGCGACTCTGCCTGAAGAGGTGGTTTTGTCAGAGTCCATACAGATGTTTAAACTGAAATTGGATAAATACTTACAAAAACATAACATACAGGGATATAATTTCTAATTAGTGGGGTAATAGCTGCTTGATCCAAGGAGACATCTGACTGCTATTTTGGGGTCAAGGAGGAATTTTTTCCTGGTTTGTGGCAAAATTGGAAGTGCTTCAGACCAGGTTTTTGCCCTCTTTTGAATCAACAGCAACAACATTTGTGAGGAAGGCTGAACTTGATGGACGCAAGTCTCTTTTCAGCTATGTTACTATGTAACTATGTAACTAAATAAACTAATTTCTTCACAGTAATCTTGTGTTTTAATATTTAATGAAAATATAATCTAATCGTGGGAGAGGTGTATTGGATAACCACGCTTGGCACCCTTTGGCTAATCATTTTGTAAATATAACGCATAGATATTAAAGGCACACTATAGTCACCAGAACAACTACAGCTTATTGTATTTGTTCTGGTAAGTTGAATCATTCCCTTCAGGCTTTTTCCCATAAACACTGTCATTTCAGAGAAAATGCAGTATGTACATTACAGCCTAGTGATAACGTCACTGGCCACTCCTCGGATGGCTACTAGAGGTGCTTCCTGGGGCTGTGCAGCACTGCCATTCAGTGTCTCCACCCTCTGCATAGAGAGACTGCACTTTCTTCACTTTCTGGGCTGTGTTTGACTTGTGCCTGCTCTGCCACTTAATTTGCGCTATATGTCTGTTCAGGCGCAATTCACCTCAATTCACATTTTATGTGCACCCACACTTATTATATATAATTTTATTCAGGGGAAACAGGGCTTTCATTTAACATGAAATATTTAGGTATAAAACATAATTTAATATGAATAAAATATAAAAAAAATGGGAGAAAATAAGAATTTTTAAAAAATGTTTAGTTCTGTGTTACATACTAACTGTGAATGTCATAATACTGTTTCATTTTACTGCAATAAAATACACATATTTGTATTCAGCGATGTCTCACGTGTAAAACAGTACCCCCTATGTACAGGTTTTATGGTGTTTTGGGAAGTTACAGTGTCAAATATAGCATGTTACATTTTTTCCGTTTTTTCACATTGAAATTCGCCAGATTGGTTACGTTGCCTTTGAGACCATATGGTAGCCCAGGAATGAGAATTACCCCCATGATGGCATACCATTTGCAATAGTAGACAACCCAAGGTATTACTAATGGGGTATGTCCAGTCTTTTTAGTAGCCACTTGGTCACAAACACTGGCCAAAATTAGTGTTAATATTTGAAAATGCAAAAAACTAATTTGAACGTCAATTTTGGCCAGTGTTTGTGACTAAGTGGCTACTAAAAAAGACTGGACATACCAATCTGGCAAATTTCAATGTGAAAAAAACAGAAACACAAGCCTTATATTTGACTCTCTACCTTTTGAAAACACCATAAAACCTGTACATGAGGGGTACTGTTATACTCGGGAGACTTCGCTGAACACAAATATTAGGGTTTCAAAACAGTAAAACGTATCACAACAATTATATTGTCCGTGTAAGTGCCATTTGGGTGTGAAAAATGCAAAAAAATTCACTTTCACTGACGATATCATCGTTGTAATACATGTTACTGTTTTGAAACACTAATATTTGTGTTCAGTGAAGTCTTCCGAGTAAAACACATGTAAAACAGTACCACCTATGTACAGGTTTTATGGTGTCCTGGAAAGTTACAGGGTTAAATATAGTGCTAGCAAATTAAATTCCCTGGACTTTTGGCCTGGGTTGTCAGGCTGGTCCTGCTAATTGTAATTAATAAAATTACCTAATTATGTAAATTATTACATAAATATACATGTAGAATTATTATATATATGTGTATATATGAATATATGTATATATATATATATATATATATATATATGTATATAATTTTTTAAATTATTTTTATTTATATATAGGTGTATATATATAGTGATATATACATATATACTTATGTATATAGATATATACTGTATATTATTTCATTCTACATGTATTTTGATATCAATATATATTAATTTTAAAATACAGTTAGAATGAATTTACACATATATATATATTTTTAATTTATTTATTTTTTATTATTTTGTGAATTTATTTTTTTACGTATTTACAGATTTATTTATTTTATATTATATATAAATATATATATATATATATATAATGAAAATTATATATATATTTATTCAATATCATTGTACGTGTATTTTGATATTAATATATATTTATAATTATATATATATATATATATATTAATATTAAAATACACTTAGACGGTGTATGTTTATGTGTATATATATAAATATATATACTTAGATCATATATATAATAAATATATATATGATCTAAGTATATATTATTTATTTTTACACTGATTTGAACTGTTTTATTTTCAGACAGTAGGGGGAGTACCTGTCACCTGGGAGTACCCGGCTATGCCGTCCATGTGATCGTGAGGTCCTCACAAGGACCTCACGATCACATGGCCCAGGGGGGCCTAAGAGGATGGCGGGGGACTCCCTGGACTCCCAGGTGAGTCCCCATACCGGGTAAGTACAAAGGACGGTTTGGGCATTCTATGCCGCCCTGCAGCGTTTAGAGTCGCTTACTTGAGGACGGTATAGAACGCCCGCCGTCCTTAAGGGGTTAAACACTATAGGGTCAGGAATACATGTTTGTGTTCCTGACCCTATAGTGTTCCTTTAAGTAGAACTTCTTTGCCTTTTTTGGTGCATGCACACATTATGTCAGTTTGTATAAATCACTACATACAAATCCCTCGTACAGAACAATAATTGTGAATGTTTTGGGAGTCATTCACACAAGTGAATTGTTGGGAATGTAACTTTAAGCTAAAATGACAACATTCTACAAATGAGCTGTTTTCAGTTTTACTATTTTTGCAATACATTTGAAACAGACTTTCAGAGTTAACCATTTAAGTGAAAATTGTCAGGAATTTAAAGTGAATTTCAAAATTTAGGCCAAAATAGCCAATTTAGAAAAATCCCCCAATATCATTCAGTGTTCAGTTTGGATATTTTTGACTTACATTTGAAATCCACTTTGAATTTCCTTTAAATGTCCAGCAATTTGCACTTTAGTGAATAACCCTGTTTGAGTTTATTTGAATATTTGTGAACGATGTATAGCACAATTGGCATATCACAATCCCGTGGATGACCAGCCAGAGTTAGCTATCACTTCTTTTAAGTTTAATCTCTAAAATATTTTAATAAAACTATCATAGAAGAAATTGTCTAAAGACTGAAAAATATGTGCTTTCTTTACAAAAGTTAGACTTCCATAACTGTAAACAAGTTTGCATCTAAATGAAAAGGAAATCTAAACAGTGTGAGCTTATGTAATAATTGCTAAATGTTCTGGATACATTCAGTATACATTTAAATATTTACTGCAGACATGTTTATTTTTTTTATATCTTTATTGAATATAGGATGATATCAGGTATAACAATAGAATGTAATGTTGTGACGATTTGGCAAAAAAAAAAAAAATACAGAAAAGTTACATTAGTTGTTTAGAATATGACAATAATATAATGGGAACTTTGGTTCATTTGTCCAAATACTGATTTAAACCTATCAGTGTTATTTGTCTAAATGGTAGAATTAGTATGGCCCAGATGAATGAGGGAAACAATGGATTTAAAATTTGGTACAGGATTTGGGAATTTAAAAAGTGTGTATTGTTCATAATACTATATTTAGTCACTTTGTATTTAGTAGAAGCTGTAAATTCAAGGCTTTGTTTCTTGGCACAGTCTGATCTCTAGCTGGTTATGCTAAACAGAGAAATACAATAGCTGCTCTTTCTTTAACATTTCAAAGATCATCCACTGTCTCCCTGTAAGGATATAGGAAAAGCAAACATTTCAGACATAAAATAATACATATATATATACTGTACATATAACATATATATCTACAAAACCACAAACTTTGACTCCATTCCCTAGAAACCCCACACTGTGTCGTTTCATACTCTGCCCACTTAACCTAATTTAATTCAGTTTGCATTATCAAGTTATTTTTAATAAAATTAAATAAATGGCAAAACCAAATAAAGAAATCAAAATAAAGTGAAGACAGAAATAAAACTGAAGTTAACATTTTTTTTTAAATATAAAAGATCTTAAAAGCTTCTGTTACTTCTGTCTACATACCTTTCAGTTACTCTGTCTTGGATGGACTTCTGCATCTGATTTTTCTGGAGTGGGTTTTCTGATTTCCAGTAGGAGGTAAAGAGTATGATGCTGACTCACTCATTTATCTCATGAGGTTGTTTTGTTTGTTTTTTTTTGTTTTTTATCTATTGGCAGTGATAAAAGTTTTTTTTTTTATTCTTTGATTTTTTTTCAAAATATAAATGTAAATAAGAAATAGAAGAAAAGCCATATCTATGTTGTGGAGTGCATGACTCTGTGCTTTATGATAGGTAAGAGAAGTGTGATCTAATGTGGATGCCCAGTGGGAATATACACTCTTCCACCCTCCCCCCTTTTTATTCTATCTCTCTTCCCCCCGGGTAAATGGTAACTGCCCTCTTACTAAGAATAAGAAATAGAAGAAAAGCCATATCTATGTTGTGGAGTGCATGACTCTGTGCTTTATGATAGGTAAGAGAAGTGTGATCTAATGTGGATGCCCAGTGGGAATATACACTCTTCCACCCTCCCCCCTTTTTATTCTATCTCTCTTCCCCCCGGGTAAATGGTAACTGCCCTCTTACTAAGATTAGCTTTGTTGTCATGCAACATATAACCTACGTTCAGAAACCAATGTTTGGTTGGAAACTACTGTCTTTTTAATTATACCAGTTCAGCAACTTTCTGTCCCACTAGTTGATGGCTGCATGGAGATATTTTTAAGAGAAACTGAACATATCAAGGTCTTGGGACAATTGTGAAAAAAAACCTTCTGAGTAGAGACAGAAGGGGTTTCTGATGTCACCTACTCACTTTCCACTGGCACATCTGGTGTCAAATACCCCAGAAGAGAAGCATGTACATTACCTTCTGTTTAGAAGTCTTATTGGTTCACTGTATCAGGAGTGCAAGGTTACAGTATCTAAATTTATCACATTCAAGAATAATATACTAGAAGCAAACCAAACAGCATATTTACTCTCAGCAACAACCTGCCTATAAAATTAGTTCACTGTATTGCAAGTTCAATTTGAATGCTATCAAGCCTTTTAAGTGTAAGCAAATGTATGCTTGCTGTGTGTATCACCTGCCCTATACAAAAACTGTATATCATTTATATATGTTCCTGGTATACTTATTTTATTTCTACTTATTTGTCTTTACTATAAAATTACTATTAGTAGCTTTTTTTATTATTTAGGAACCAGAGCAGGCTTCTTGTGGAAAAAGTTTGGAGGGAGTAGTGGACACCTTGGATCAAGTTTTGAGGTTCAAGGACTGAATGAATATCTGTATCACTGACACATATGTTTTTTTTACATTCACTGTTCAATCACATGATTTGATTATAGTAAATTAAATAGTCACTCTTAGGAGTAAACATTATTACCACAGAGCAGATTAACCCAGTGATCTGTGCATTTTACTGCCATCCAGGTTGCAAAGAATCTGATCAAGTACAAGTTTAAATTCTGCATTATAAGAGTATAACAATGGTTACCAATGATAGCTTGTCAGAATGCTCCAAAACAACGGGATTAAGGAATATGGAAGATTACATCCATAAAATCTTGGCTCCATAACTTCTAAACTCAGTTGGAGTTGTTATAATGACTGGAATGTCTCTTAAAAACATAAAATAATAAATATTAATTTGTTATAGTGTTTTGATTATTGGTTATTTAATTTATCTTTTAATTTTCAAAAATAGTCATTTTTATATTAGTTATTTAGTTTATATTGATTTCGTTTCCATGATGTTTCTGTTATTTATTTATTTTTTTTCCAAAATTGAATTTACATTATTATATTGGTTAATTTATTTTTATTTATTTCCCATGACTATATTTCCCATGACAACAGTTTAAGTCTGATGCTTGAAGCAGGAGGCCTCAGATTGGATGCCACTGTTGGGATGAGGACCACAGTAGCTCCCCATTCATACAATGGAGTAATTCTTTCAGCCTACCTACAACAACCAGTCCAAGGTTTCTTATTTCAAGCCTCACACTCATAGGGATTTAGAGGAGGTAGAGCTGCAAGAAACCAGTCAGATGATTTTGGGGCTAACCGGTTCAATAAAAGTTTAACCCCAGTTTAACATGGTCCCGGAGTATTCCTTTAATTTCTGTGATTGTAGGGTTTTTTTTTATACTTGTTCTTTTGATTTAATTTTCATGAATATTTCTTTTTATATAACTTATTTAGTTTCTTTGTGTGTAATATTCATTATTATTTTAAAATTATATTATTTTGATTTAATTTTCATCAATATTATTTTGAAGTTGGTTATTTAGTTTATAGTACTTTAATTTTCATGATTATTTTCATGATAGTTCTTAGATTAGTGCACAAATTCCTTTCAGCTGCATTGAATGAATCAAATGACTGTTAATAGATGGACAAATCAATTGAATTATTAGGCATTCTCTGACTCAAACTGTTCATCCAACAGTTAACAGGTATTTAATGCACTCAGTGTAACGGATAAAGTGATTACTGCACTAATCTAGTGTATTGTTATATATAATGCACTAATCTATATAGTTTATTTTGATTTATTTTCTGCTATGTTTTTGTTAGTTATGTGGCATATTATAATTTTATTAATTTCTATGATTATATTTTTATATTAGTTATTTAGACTATTTTGATGTAGTGTAAGTGATTTTTTTGTATTGCTTGCATAGCTTATTTTGATGGAATTTCCACGATTATATTATTTATTTGTTACTGAGATTCATATGATTTATTTGCCATGATTTTATTACATATTGGTTATTTAGATTATTATGATTCTTTTTTCCATGATTATTTTTATAATAATTTTGTTTTGTTGAATTTAGTCACCATGATTATATTTTAAATTTAGTCATAAACAGGATTATAATTTTATTCCCATGATGCTTTTTGTATTAGTTACATAGATTAACCTCATTTAATTTCCATTATTATGTTTCTAGAGGTGATACCACAGAAATACTATAGAACACAATATAATTTAATGATTATTTATTTTAAGTAGGTGGTTTGCCAATTGTATTTAATTCCATTGATTATTTTATATTAGTTTATTTAGATTTATTTTCCATGGTTATTTTATTTAATCGTTACTAACATTTTTATGATTTATTTTCCATGATTTTATAATATATTTATTTATATTATTAGGATTCTTTTTCCATGATTATTATTATAGTAATGATTTAATTTAGATGAATATAATTACTTTGATTATATTTTTAATTTAGGTATCTACAGGATTATAATTTCATTCCTATGATGCTTTTTGTATAAATTATACACATTAATTTAATTTAATTTTCATGTCAATCTGCAGTTGCTAAGGCCAGTAAGATTTTGTCATGTATAAATAAGGGCATAAATTCTCGGGATGTCTGAAAAGCCTCACAAAAATCATGGCCACAAGACTGAAGCCTATTCTGCCAGGCCTTATCCACCAAGACCAAGCAGGCTTTGTCACAGGTAGGGAAGCCAAAAATAACACCTCAAGGATCATCAACCTCATCCACTCGGCCCAAACACACAAAATCCACAGCACCCTATTGGCCATTGACGCAGAGAAAGCCTTTGATAGGGTAAATTGGGCACTGCTAAAACACACAATACAACAACTGGGCTTTGGCCCTCGTTGGCAGGAATGGTTGAATGCCATATACTCATTGCCGACAGCCGGGTTGAGAATCAATGGCCAACTTTCACAACCAGTAACCATTACAAATGGTACAAAACAGGGTTACCCTCTCTCGCCTATCCTTTTCATATTGGTCCTAGAACCATTCCTCCAAGGGATTAGAGATAATAAAAATGTCCAAGGATTCAAAATCGACAAACAAGAATATAAGGTCACAGCCTTTGCTGATGACCTCTTGTTCAAAATTTCAAACCCATCTTCGACAATATCCTCCATCCTAACAGAAATGGAGACATATAGTAAAGTTTCCAACTTTCAGGCAAACCTAACTAAGTGCGACCTTTTACCAATCTACACCACAAAAACTCTTGATACGCTACTACAGAACAAGTTTAACTTCCCATGGGTTCCCAGGTCCATCAAGTACTTAGGCGTGCACATCCCAAACAGACTAGTTTCGACCTATAAATTAAACTTCCCCCAGTGGTATCTACCATTACCAAGGACCTCCAGGCGTGGCATAAGCCCTGCTTTGGGTAGCTATGCTGATTTAATATAATAAAAATGAACCTCCTTCCCCGAATACTATATCTCCTACAAACCCTTCCCTTCGCTATCCCATGCACATTCTTTAACACAATCAGATCCATTTTCACAAAACTTTTGTGGGCATATACAACCTCGCGTTTAGCTCACGCCACTCTAACCAGGAGTAAGGAACAAGGAGGAGTAAACCTTCCAAACATTGATCTATACCATAAAGCAATACACTTACAGAGGATCTATGAATGGACCAAAAGCACATAAATCCAACAATGGGTAACCTTATCAGAAACGCCCCTAAACATCAGCCCTTGGTTCCAACACGATTTTACACACCGTCAAATGAGACAATACAACAACCACCCAACCATCGACACAACTCTAAAAGTTTGGCATAAACTCCAAAAAAGACAGACCTATCACCATTTCCATCACCGCTATACCCACTTACACAAAACCCCCACTTTCAAAAAGGGAACTCAGGAAAATCGTTTGATCTCTACCACAAAGGCGCCTCACTACAACTAAGGGATGTAGTCTAAGAAGGTAAAATTAAAACCCTGCCTCAAATCATACCAACACATACCCACACTGTAATCCAACAAATGCATCACCACCAATTGACACACTTTATCAAAACCCAAAACTTATTACCTAAAGGAGATAGGCCCCTAACAAAGTTTGAACAAATATGCTCCTCACATCCAATCACAAAAAAAGGTCCTTTCTACCATGTATAGACTGATTAGGGAATCACAAGAACCACACCTCCTGGGCTACACGACTAAATGGGCAGATGAACTCAAACTAAACTTCTCTCATCAACAATGGCAAACTATTCTCAAAAAGGCACATAATTCAACCACCTCATTAACAGCACAAGAGAGTAATTTTAAGCGTATAACCCGGTGGCACTTTACATCAGCAAAAATCCACACAATACACAACACGACAACGGACTTCTGCTGGAGGTGCTACCTAAAAGAAGCACATCATGCACACATATGGTGGCAATGCCCTGTGATCGCTAACTTTTGGAACAGAATTCACACTATCATTCAAACTATCTTCCAAACCAAATTCACTATTGCTCCAGATCAATATATTTTCCTCCTACCCCCCAGGGCTTCTCTAAATTAGATACAGCCCTCTTCAACCAATTAGTCATGGCTGCTTCTCAATTAATTCCCAAACACTGGAAACAGCCAAAACCTCCCTCAATCAGGGAATGGATCCAGAGAGTAGAAGACACTAAACAAATAGAGGATATAACACGAGCCAAATTAGGGAACTACTTGAAATTCACCAAGATCTGGGAACCGTGGAACACTTTCATTACACTCAAGCTAACAACCTGACTTAGTCCACACAATCCCGTTGATTGAACTAAGCAACAAGATAGACGACCAGGGTATCCCAGACGCCAGGACGCACAGCGAGACTCAAAGACCAGTACCAACAACACTAGATGACTTTCCCATAGTAAGAGTAACCAACTCCTGAAACGACACTATCTTCACAATACCTACACCTGTAACAAATACTGGCACTATGGCGAGAAGACAATAAAGAGACGAATCAATATCAGGCTCGAACCAGAGCGGAAGGCGTTTAACTGCAACATGTAATATTTTATATCTACTGTTCAAATATTTATAACCGGTACTCGAATATAACAAAACTTGTTACATATCAATGTTACTGTGAAATTAACCCACACTCTGTACCATGCTGTTACTAAATTGCTTATTGTACCACTTTACCAGCACTGAGACCATATAACTCAGGTCTTTCTGTAATTCCTACAACTGTATACTCGCATTCTACATATTGTAATTTTACATGAAAAACAATAAAAATACAAATAAAAAAAACAATTCTCGGGTTGAAAATATAATTTTCCCTCTTTATAAATCGCTGGTAAGACCACACCTTGAATATGCTGTGCAATTTTGGGCACCTGTTCAAAAGAAAGATATCATGGCACTAGAAAAAGTGCAGAGACGACCTACAAAATTGATAATAAAAAGAATGGAACATTTTAGTTAAGAAGAAAGGTTAAAAAATTTAAATCTGTTTAGTAATCTTGATTATTTTTATAATAATTTTGGTTAGTTAAGTGTTATTATCATGAGAATATTTTTAATTTAGTTATTTACAGGATTATAATTTAATTCCTATGATCTTTTTTGTTTAAGTTATATACATTAATTTAATTTAATTTTCATGATTATGTTTATAGGGGTGTCACCACAGAAAATATTGGTAAAGAAAATATAATTTACTGATTATTTATTTCCGGTAGGTGCTTCGCCATTTGTTTTTGATTCCATTGATTATTTTGTATTAGTTTATTTACATTTATTACTCATGATTATTTTATTTAATTGTTACTTGGATTCTAATGTTTTGTTTTCCATGATTTTATTATATATTAGTTATGTACATTATTATGATTTTTTACCCTTGATTATTTTTATAATAATTTCGGTTAGTTAAGTGTAATTATCATGACTATATTTTTAATTTAGTTATTTACAGGATTATAATTTTATTCCCATGATGCTATTTGTATAAATTATATACATTAATTCAATTCAATTTAATTTACATGATTATGTTTCCTGGGGCGAATTTAAGTTAAATACATTAATTTAATTTAATTTTCATGATTATGTTTCTTTGGACGACACCACAGAAAATATTGGCAAAGAAAATATAATTGACTGATTATTTATTTCCGGTAAGTGCGTCGCCAATTGTATTTGATTCCATTGATTATTTTATATTAGTTCATTTACATTTACTATCCATAATTTTTTTGTTAGTTACTTAGATTATAATGATTTGTTTTCCATGATTTTATTATATATAAGTTATTTAAATTTTTATGATTTTTATTCTTGATTATTTTTATAATAATTTAGGTTAGTTAACTTTAATTACCATGACTATATTTTTAATTTAGTTATTTACAGGATTATAATTTTATTCCCATGACGCTATTTGTATAAATTATTGTTGTGGATCAGAAATGTTGATCTTTGTTATATTCAGAGGAAGCCCAAATTGTTGTTACAAGTGCACTTGGAGAAGCGAGAATTAGAGACCAGACACCTGTTGGTATTCAAAATAAGCCTCTGACGTTTTATTCATCAGCTGGGTTTTATACATTAAAAAGTAAGTGCTTACGTGCAAATACTCTTAGAACAGTAATAGGAAGAAAATACAGATAAGACATAGGGATGAGCGTCATGTACCCATAACAAATAAGTTTCAAGGTATGAGAGAACAAAATGATTAGAGCAGAGACATCTTAGGTGGGGGCTCTCTGCTCCCGGAACTTAGACATATATGGTCTTAAGTGTTGTTTAAGCATCAAGCATTTCCTGAGTCCAAGTTAGCCAATTTTAATATAGGATATCATTATATGACACCTATAAGCTTGAGCCTTGGAATCAAGATAAATTCTATCACATTATATACTATTAATTCAATTCAATTTAATTTACATGATTATGTTTCTTGGGGCGATACCACAGAAAATAATGGTATAGAAAATATAATTTACTGATTATTTATTTCTAGTAGGTGGTTCACCAATTGTATTTGATCCATGGATTATTTTATATAAGTTTATTTACATTTATTTCCCATGATTTATATGTTAATTAGATTATTATGATTTATTTTCCATGGTTTTATTATATATTTATTTAAATTATTAGGATTCTTTTTCCATGATTATTATTATAGTAATGATTTAGCTTAGATGAATATAATTACTGTGATTATATTTTAATGTACTTATCTAAAGGACTATAATTTAATTCCTATGATGCTTTTTGTATAAATTATATACATTAATTTAATTAAATTTCCATGATTATGTTTCTTGAGGTGATACCACAGAAAATATTGGTAAAGAAAATATAATTTACTGATTATTTATTTCCGGTAGGTAGTTCGCCAATTGTATTTGATTCCATTGATTTTATATTAGTTTATTTACATTTATTTTCCATAATTATTTTATCTAATTCTTATTCAGATTATAATGATTTGATTTCCATGATTTTATTATATATTAGTTATTTACAGTATTATGATATTTTCCCCTTGATTATTTTTATAATAATTTTGGTGAGTTATGTTTAATTATCATGAGAATATTTTTAATTTAGTTATTTACAGGATTATAATTTCACTCCCATGATGCTTTTTGTCTAAATTATATACATTAATTTAATTTAATTTCCATGATTATGTTTCTTAGGGCAACACCACAGAAAATATTGGTAAAGAAAATATATACATTCATTTAATTTAATTTACATGATTATGTTGCTAGGGGTGATACCACAGAAAATAATGGTATAGAAAATATCATTTACTGATTATTTATTTCCGGTAAGTGGTTCACCAATTGTATTTGATTCCATTGATTATTTTATATAAGTTTATTTGCATTTATTTCTCATGATTATTTTATTTAATTTTTAATTAGATTATAATGATTTGTTTTCAATGATTTTATTATATATTAGTTATGTTTATTATTATGATTTATTTGCCCTTGATTATTTTTATAATAGTTTCGGTTAGTTAAGTTGAATTATCATGAGAATATTTTTAATTTTGTTATTTACATGATTATAATTTCACTCTCATTACGCTGTTTATCTAAGTTATATACATTAATTTAATTTTCATGATTATTTTTCTAGGGGCGACACCACAGAAAATATTGGTAAAAAAAATATAATAGATTATTTATTTCTGGTAGGTGCTTCGCCAATTCTATTTGATTCCATTGATTATTTTATATTAGTTTATTTACATTTATTATCCATAATTATTTTGTTAGTTACTTAGATTATAATGATTTGTTTTCCATGATTTTATTATATATTAGTTATGTACATTATTATGATTTTTTTCTCCTTGATTATTTTTTTAATAATTTTGGTTAGTTAACTTTAATTATCATGAGAATATGCTTAATTTAGTTATTAACAGGATTATAATTTCATTCCCATGATTTTTTTTGTCTAATTATATACATTAATTTAATTCCCATGATTATGTTTCTAGGGGCGACACCAAAGAAAATATTGGTAAAGAAAATATAATTGACGCATTATTTATTTCCGGTAGGTGCTTCGCCAATTGTTTTTGATTCCAATGATTATTTTATATTAGTTTATTTACATTTATTATTTTTATAACAATTTCGGTAAGTTAACTTTAATTATCATGAGAATATGTTTAATTTAGTTTTTTTACAGGATTATAATTTCATTCCTTTGATCCTTTTTGTTTAATTATATACATTACTTTAATTTTCATGATTATGTTTCTAGGGGCAACACAGCAGAAAATATTGGTAAAGAAAATATAATTGACGTATTATTTATTTCCGGTAGGTGATTCGCCAATTATTTTTGATTCCATTGATTATTTTATATTAGTTTATTTACATTTATTATTTTTATAACAATTTTGGTGAGTTAACTTTAATTATCATGAGAATATGTTTAATTTAGTTATTAACAGGATTATAATTTCATTCCCATGATTCTTTTTGTCTAATTATATACATTAATTTAATTCCCATGATTATGTTTCTTGGGGCGACACCAAAGAAAATATTGGTAAAGAAAATATAATTGACGCATTATTTATTTCCGGTAGGTGCTTCGCCAATTGTTTTTGATTCCAATGATTATTTTATATTAGTTTATTTACATTTATTATTTTTATAACAATTTCGGTAAGTTAACTTTAATTATCATGAGAATATGTTTAATTTAGTTTTTTTACAGGATTATAATTTCATTCCTTTGATCCTTTTTGTTTAATTATATACATTACTTTAATTTTCATGATTATGTTTCTAGGGGCAACACAGCAGAAAATATTGGTAAAGAAAATATAATTGACGTATTATTTATTTCCGGTAGGTGATTCGCCAATTATTTTTGATTCCATTGATTATTTTATATTAGTTTATTTACATTTATTATTTTTATAACAATTTTGGTGAGTTAACTTTA